GACTTTGTTTTTCTTCTTTACTTGTTTTAAAAGTGAGAGGTATTGACCTCATGATGAAGTGTCCTTGACTTCTGGTGGATTTTCAGTCTGTTGGGTTCTTTTGAGTCAAGAGCTGTTACTTAAGTGAAAAATATGGGCCTGCTCCAGTGAAATTCTCTCATCTGTGATTAGGCAGGAAGTAAAATAAAATTATCATAATGGACCCATCTTAAAAATCTATTGCTCTGTGATTATTTCCACTTTTCATCCCCATTACTTTCACGGAAAAAAGTAAGAGTTGAGGAGGTCCCCAAAGTGTGAGCTCTCAGTGTGTTAGTGTTGAACTCCTTTATTTCACACATTGCTATTTTAGGAAGAAGCTGGAAATTTTATTAGGGATAACTACAACATAAAAGGCTTCCCAGGCTAGTTTGGAGAAATGGATGCTCAAAAGGCCTACTACTTTTTCGTGTAATGCTTTGCATGTTCACTAGTGCCTACGCTTCAGCTAGCACAGATTGTTGTAGCTCCAAAGTCAATAAGCTCTGAAATGAGCATCAGCTGAAGATCTACCACCTATTTGTTTACATTATCTTTAGACTTTTACTGAATTTAGGACCTTTATTTCAGTGGGGAAAGAGAAGCAAGTCCTTTTTTATTGAAGAAGTGGGGCAGGAGGGAATAGTTTTGGCAAGGTCGCTGCTTGAACTTTATAACTCAATTCACCCAGGGCTGGGCCAGCTGGAGATGAAGACCACATGGCATGTAGCAGCACTGTAGCTGCTGGGTGTTCGTTCACAGGTGAGGTACTCTCACGCCAGCCCTTTGAAGTTGTTCCACTTTGCCGAAATAATTAAATGCTTACTGAATAAAGCAAGTTAAGAATGAATTCGCTTCGATAATCCCTTGGTTTGGGCGCTCACCTGGGAGATGATTAAGAAGGTGAAAATCTAAACGATATTAGGAAGAAAAAAATTGAAAAAGAGCACTGAGGTGTCACTCAGATGTCTTTTTCTGTTACTTTTTACAGGAACATTTTTGCCAGAGTTTGAATCCCCACTGAAAGAGCTCACTGTAGCTAATCCTCTGAGACTGTTCTAAGTGGGAAATGGATACAGGATAAACAGACAATCTGCTGTTGGCACACAGCCCTCTCTGCCATGGTGTAATAAAGTCTTATCATCTGCAGCAAGGTTCTTCAATGGCTAAGCTCTTTCTAAAGCTGAAGGAGAACTGAGCACCATAACTGGAAATCCAATAATGGCACCTATAAATAAAGGATTTCTATTTGCACAGCTAACAGCAAATGAAATTATTTTTAGTGATTAAATAAATTATTAAAAAAACCTGGTTCAAACATTAAGGTTTTTTTTGGGAGAAGACTTCAAGAAATGTTCATACTTGTTAAAACTTTTGGAACTTTTGGGAGCATGCTTTCACTGTGGAATGTTAAAAATCAGCTCATTAAAAGCAATAGGAGAACTGAGGACACCATGACTGACTTAATATAAATGGACCTTTCATGAGAAATTTTGAAGGAGGCACTAAGGTGAAGAGCTCAGTGTCACTGAAAGAATAGCATCTATCACTGATCATTTAAAATCGTTTCAGCTGTTGAGTGTTAGCCTGTTAAATTTCTTCCTAAAAGACATGCAGCTTTTTAGAGCAAGGGGGTTTGTTATTTATCTTTGATTACTGCCTCTCCATTTTAAGAAATCCTACAAAAAAGATTTGATTAGAAATATTTCAGTGATTTTTATTTGTTTTTTTACAATGCAGAGGAATGGTTAACTTTCAGCACTTTTCTGTCAGCACTGTAGTGTAACAAATATATGAAATCCAAACTGAAAGGTACTTATTCTGTTTTTATAGTCAAACTTAAGCCTAACAAAAAAAGTGAAATAAGAAAACCATAAAATCACAGAATAGACCTTAAAGCTCATCCAGTTCCAGCCCCCTGCCACAGGCAGGGACACCTTCCACCAGACCAGGTTGCTCCAAGCCCCATCCAACCTGGCCTTGAACACTGCCAGGGATGGGGCATCCAAAGCTTCTCTGGGCAACCAGTGCCAGTGCCAGTGCCAGTGCCAGTGCCAGTGCCAGTGTCAGTGTCAGTGCCTCACCACCCTCACAAGGAAGAACTTATTCCTTACATCTAATTTAAAAATCAACAGGGAGAACCCAATTTGAGTTCCCTTTTGCCACTTTAGCTGCAGCTGACTCATATTCAGCACTAATGAGCTATTCATTTCCACATGCTACTTAAGGTAACCTTCTAATATCTTTTGATTCCTTCTTGTGGGACATGTTGAATCTATAGAGAGTTTGTTCTTTTTCTTTTCCTGTTGCCATTTTTTCACTGTGCTGCTTCTAGGAAGTGTGGTTACTCTGTTCCTCATAGAGCCTTTTATCTGTCTGTTTGCTCATGTGTACCTAGCTAATTGGAATAGTTTCCCTGAAATTGTTAGCAAGTAGGTGTGCTCACCACAAATGACTAAGATTGTTCTTAGTAGAAATGGCCACACCATATTCTGAAAGACAATCCACTAGATTATGGAAAGGCTTTGGGAAAATGAGTGGTGAATCTGATGGGACCAGTAGCATTACCTCCTTTCGCTGAGGATGAATATTGATTTTAAATATGCTCTAGGTTCTAACAGTCTGTTAGCCACATATCTGAGGATTTTTTCTCAAGGTCAGGCTATAGTTCTTAAAGTAGCACCATTATTTCCTTATTCAGTGGAAAAGAAGAAAGCTGATTCTTTGAACTTATGAATTAGAGCAGACAGTGTTGACAATATGTAATTGCTGCTTCAATTGAGAGGAAAGGTAATGCCTCTGTTGTTTTGAAGTTCTTTAAGAAACTCCCTTGTGATCTAAAGCTAGTCATCTTAGACAAGCAATTTGCTCCTGAGTGATAAGAACCTTTCATAAGCATTGCATTGGCTTACAAAAAACACCCCAGCCCAACAACAGAGAACAGAAAAGGGAATTAAAGTCAGAAGCCACTCCTTAATCTCTTTTCAGTTACACAGTGTAGGCTTGCAGGAGTGGGACAAACTTCTGTCCAGTTGCTCTCCTTTAGCTCAAGCAACAGCAGCAGTCCCTACTTGAACTTAAGCTAAGGCTAGAAAATGTTATTTTCACTGATAGTCAATATTAAGCTTTGAAATCTGGAATAGATTCCATCCCTGACCTCAGTTGGCTGTCAGTGCATGCCCTAATATAGAAAGATCATTTCGTTGTTTCATTAAGCCAATTATCTCTGACTTGTACTCACATTCTGCTAAATGTATGATCCCTTTCTGCCAACCTACCATCCAAATTTGACTGCAGATAATGAGTTGCTTCCATGGACTTCAGTAGGCATGGTGCATGTAAAAGAGGAATTGGGCCATCATTTGCCTGTGCAGTTCCCTGGTGGACAGGATGACATGGCTTTAGCTACAGGTTACAGGAAACCCGTGTATTTTCTGTCTTTTAATCTCAGACAGCGTATCTTTGCTGTATTGTGAAGAACACTAGATATGAACCAATTTGATTTTGTCAAAATTTTATTACAGGTATCCCAGATGTGTCCCCTTTTACTCCTCTGCATTAGAAAGTTTAATCCCAGTCTTTCAAATCCCTTTTAATAACTAGCCCACCCCTCTGTGCTTCATTTAGGTTTTCTTCATTTCAGGTGCCCCATTAACTAACGCTGTCATAGTTTTCCCTGTTAAGTTTCTATAATATACCTTAGCATCTTTTTTATTTCTTTGTACTTTTTTTTTTAATTAAAATTTGTCTCAGTACTGAATTGCTTTTTCTACTGAACACTTCTCAGTTGGTCATAGATTTTTCTTGCTTGGTGACAGCTAATTCAGAACCCATCAGTGGGCTGGATTCATCTGGTTCTTGCACTGCATGAAATTAAACAGTTCTATTGAAGTCAGTTGGGTAAATCTGAAGTTTATGCTGGCATAAATGAGATAAAATACTGGCCTGGTGTGATCAAGAAGCTTATTGCGTCCCTACCAAAAGCCAGGTCTGCCTGTCCAGTTTACTTTTTTAGTTACTTAGTTTGATGTAACTGAAGAATGGGGTAAGTTTCATGCATATATTATGACAACAAATATGCCTACATTTATAAATTGCAAAAGACACATAACTATGTATAAAACTTTAAGTATAAAATCCTTGTGTAGCATGCAGTGTGATGGACTTTCACCCTGAGATGTCTGAGCACTCGATCTATTAGTTACAACTGAAGTGAATTATTTGGCCAGATCCTTCGTATTTTATGAAGCTGGATCTTTCAACAATATTGTGAGTGACTAGGCACATAAGGAATGACAAAGCCATACCCATGATGTAACTAGAAAACTGGAATAATATGTTTTAACGTGCTGCAACACCTGTCAATATTCCACAAACTTCATGTGCTGCCATAAAGTTCAGTCAGGCTCTCTTTGACTCTTTTTGAACCCCACTGACATCAGTGGTTTTGATGATGTGAAATAGTTTGAAACTGTTTGTGTGATCTTGTGTAAACACACCCTTGAAATTTGCTTTTATAATAAATTATTTTATCCATATCTTACCTGATGGAAATGAATCCTGGTTTTATACTGTCAGGACAGCTTAGCCATACAAGTTTTCATATTTCAATGTTGTAATTAGAATATTTTAAATTATTTTGCTAGTTGTCAGTTACAAATATTTAAAAACTACTTTTGGTTTTGTTTTTTCTTCTTCTTTCTATAAGCTGACAAACTACTGTAATGACATTGCTCTAATATCTTATTTCCTCTCTGAATGGTTTATGTCATGCTGGCCTTGTCCAAACTAGCAAAGATCTTAAAGCTGGCAAGTATATAAAATATTGTATAAAAAGGCTTAAGTGTGAATGATGGTAAATCAAAACACCTTTAGAAAAAAAAGAAAAACAAAGGATTGTGCTTTGAATCTCAGATATAAAAAAACTGATACGCACTAGCTAATTCTCACTAGTAACATCTGATTTTACTTTGTCTTTAAAGGTAAAACCGGCCACACAGAGATTGTACGAGTAGTGTATCAGCCAGAAAACATCAGCTTTGAGGAATTGCTCAAGGTCTTCTGGGAGAGTCATGACCCGACACAAGGTAGAGTGATGAGTGAGCCAGTATTTAATTATCTTACTAATTACAGCTGGGATAATTAGTGTTTGAGCTGCATGGAAGAGATGAACCTTGAAATCACACTGGAGCTCAGGAATATGATTGCAGACATTTATTGACAGAGAAAGAGAGGGAGAGAGAGAATGAGAGTACAGAAATGCACAATACCCCTCCTCCTTTACAGCTGTCTGTGCTGGGAAAATTCCCACAGAGAGGCACAGTAGACAATAGATTTTTTTTTCAACTTTGATTATGACAATTTCTTCTGTAATGCTCTCTTTTGTCTCTTTTAAATTAAAGCATATTTCTTTGCAGCTTCAGAGCTGGCCTTTTTATTTGTGCAGAGGACCTTTAATCCTTCATAAAAAAAATTGTTTTTTATATTTTTCAATGGCAGTGAATATCATTTATGATTAGAAAAAGGGAACAAAATGAGGTAAGAGATGGTGTGTAGAGGCACCACCAGAGCATTCTAGTTATTTGCCTTATTCAAACCTTTTATTTAATTTATCTTTCTTGGAAGAGGCTTCATGATGACATTACACACATCTGTGCAAACAGAAATGGGAAACTGTGTTGAGAAAACATTTTACATGTTTGTATAGTTTCAGTAAACATCATTCTTTCTACCATTTCCCAGAAACACTGCACACAGTAACTCATTTCAATATTTTAACAGCTATCATAATTATGACACTTGTTACTACATCTGGAAACAAAAAAAAAAAAACAACGCAAATAATACCTTCAAAATGCGATAACATCCTTGGAAACAGTAACTCTGAGAAAGGGGTTATTGTGGATAAGTGTCTTCCAGTGAGCCCAGAGCACAACGCAAAGGCAAAACTGGCTGTTGTGACTCCTGCCTGTATGAAAAGGGAAGCCTTACTCAGGTGTTTGAAGCTATTTTCTGTATGCAGAGTCAGTAAAATCAGAACATTTTGTGCAGTTTCTGTGTTGACATACCAGTAATTACACTGAAATATCGCTGGGGATTCAAGGAAGGGACACAAAAAGGACATAGAGCCTAGAAAACTGGCCTGATGCTCTGAATAAACACGTTCAACTAGTTGAAGAGAAAAAAAAATTGATCAAGTAATCTTTACAGGTGCATATGAGAGGAGCAGATACCTTGTAGTGAGGTTGACAACCCAATGGCTAATAAAGCCATAAAAAAATCCCATTGCTGAAAGGTGAAGTTTGAGAAGTTCCACCTTAGATTAAAATAGTTTTACAGCTTTTAGTGTAATTAAACATTGGTGTCTTTTTCCAGCACTATCCTTTTGAATCATGAGAAGAAATTATGTATCCATGTGTTGTGTGGTGGCCTGTATTGTTGATTTATGAATCTCCCTTTTCAACTTCTTCCTTTATGGTTGTGTTCAGAGTAAGTTACACCATTCTTGAAATACTTGCAGCTCTGAATTAAGACAATGACCATCTTCAAATCATGCTTCAGGGCCTTTGTGGCTTACTTGTCAGGGTCAGGAAGGAGATTTTCTCCTTATCCTAACAGGAGTTGTGTTTAGGTCTTTTTTTAATCAGTTTTTTTTTTTTGATTGTCAGAGACTGTCCATCAGAAGAGGCTGGCTTCTTTGCAATGGGCTGGTTGTTTTGATATAGCAGAGAAGCCTATTTTGGGATAATTGGTTCATGTGTCTTGTTCTCATGTTCAGCAGATCCTGAGTGCTAGAGCTGGGAACTAATAAGCAGGACTATAGGATTCTTTGCCTTCCAAAGCAGTATGAGGAATGGATTTCTGTTGAAATAATCTGGGCCACTACCACCTAATGAGTTATCTGCCGTGTCTGTAATTTTGGATTTGAGAGCGTATGGTTGGACTTTGCCTGTGGCACACATGAAATAGGGTCAGTCTCTAAAGGACTTCAGTGCTAAAGGCTGACTGAAATTCATATGCTGGACCCAATGTGGATGAAGTGTAGCAGTTGTGATAACAGGTCAGATCAGATGAAGTTATCGTTCCTTCTGGCTTTAAAACAAAGTAAAATGATGACATTATGTCTTCATATTCCCCTTGAATTCTCATGTAACTGAGGTTCAAAATAGTTCCAGTCTGTGCTTTCAGAAGAAGGTTGGATGCTGGCAGATGTATGATTCACTCTTTGATTTCTGGCAACTGGGGAAACATCACCTAATTAGCCCGGGCACAGAGCCACACTAATGTGGCGGTATTCCTTCTGGGATGTGAGCTGATATCTCTGTATGACACTGAGCTGTGTAGATACCCAAGTCATTCACAACTGTCTCAGGCATCTGTGTGGCACTGTAGTGCTTGGTGTGAACATACATAAGCCTTTATCTAAGCTTGAATTTCCAAATGGTTCTTCTGTAATAATTTTCAAAATGTGAGTACATCACTATCCACAGAGCAGATGGCACTCTTCTCTGAAGACTTTGCATATCCAAAACTTGGACAGGTTGCTTTACCAAAGTATTCTTATGGTTCTTTAATACTAATATCTGTTTGAGAACCTCGCAAAGCTCATTTTTGCAAAGCTGTACCACCTTTCTTGATTGAGGAAAACCTAAACCGCACGGTCCCGATTTCAAGTTCTTTATTTTGTAAGATGGGAATGTTATGCTTATATACCCTTTCAGGTTTGAGCAGCAGAAGATATTTAAGGTGGAATTGTTTCTTTGCCTTGGTTTGTGTCTACTCCCTGCCTTTAACTTGCTACGGGTAATGTGGTTTCATGTATAGATACAAAAAGTGAGAGTTATTTCTCTCACTTACGATATTTTTCTCCTTTCCTGAGGTTCAGTGATGTGCACAAAGTAAATCTTATTTAGCCAGCCTTACAGTAATGCAGATCTGTCAAAGAGAAGTTTTTTTACTAAGCAGATAAACTTTTGGCACACTCTTTGGATAAATCCAGCATAGGCAGAAAATGTTGGACTTCCTGAGTATAGTGCTCACTCAAAAGTCTAAAAGCTTTGTCTGTGGCATTATCTTACCTTTTCTCTAGAAGCTGAGTTAATGTCATTTAAGCCTGACTACCCCCAACAGCAATTATGTACTTGTCTAATTGTTCTGATGTTGTTAAACATCAAATATGTACATTCTGTTGCAGTTAAAGACCTTTCAAATATCAATCTAGATGGTACAGAGTTGCTTAAGTGTACAAACTGGAAGTCCTATATACTAATATTCAAAAGTTCCTGCTTTCTGAACAGTTGGCCTCCTGCCTCTAAGATGAGACTGTCATCTCACTGGGATTCGAATTTTCTCTTGGTGACAGCCTGATTCTTGTTTCATGAAGCTCTTGAGTCTGAGTATTATACAGAAGTCTGTTGAAAAGCAAGAACCTTTAATCAAGTCAAACAACCTAAGAGATTCTCCCAGATGAGCATCTCATAAGTGTAAGGCCCTGATAAAGTCCTCCTTGACTATTAATTTAGGCTTTATTTTATAATTCATTACATTTGGGATATGGAAAAAGCAACAAACAAACCCCCCAACTTCTGTCAAGTGACATATGGTTGTCATCCCTGTTCAGCCTATAATGCACAGGTGAGCATTCTTTCTCTTGTGGGAATGATCTTGTCTATATGAGGACTGGTATGTATAGCTCTATAAGTGCTTCAAGTGTTTGCTTCTTTGACATTGATACAGAAAAGAGAATAAATGTGAAAATACCGAAAATGCTGAAAATACTGGAAAAGAATCATATGGCTGTTCACTTTGTACATAATCTTATTTTTCTAAAGTTTATAAAGGTTTGGGGATTATGTATTACCTTGTTTTTTGCACTAAAGAGGCCATCCTCAGCCCCTTCCAGATTTTTAATTTATATACCTTAAAATTGCACTCCAACAGTGGTTCTGCTGGCACCTCCATGCTGTCTGTCTAGAGGGATGTGGATTTTCAGACCTCCGGTTTGTTTGTATTGTGCCTCAACCAGCAGTTCCATGATTGCTATAAGCTAATCTTTGACAGGGAAAAGGGCACTCTCTCCCTGACCTGTCAGCAGGATACAACCTCTTTCTTTGTGTTGACATTGTCAGTCACAAAGTTCTCTGATCAAGCTGAAAATTAACCCGGCATGAATTGAAGTGAAACATAATTTTCAGCCAGGACTTCAACTGCCAGGAGCATGACTGCTGGTGGGACTACCCTTCTGGCATTAGCACTATCCTATGGTGTGTGAGCCAACTGCAAAACCCAACTGTGCTTATGGTTAGGGAGGAAGATGGCATATTTTATCTCATCAGAAAGTCTGGCCACTCTTTGTGGGGTGTCAGAAACTATTTCTCCAACTCTTTGGAAAAATCTATCTGATATCAGAGGAGTTTGTCATTGTGCAAATGTGACAGCGTATTACTGTTCGTAATTCCCCTGACCCTGTGTGTGATTGATGTCCTACTTGTGTCAGAGATTTCAGTCCAGTCCAAAGGGTTCCTTGTTGCTTTCAATGACTTTACAGGAGGAAAGCAGAAGACAAACCAAAACCTATTTATTTCTCCTTAAAACATGTTTGGGGCAAATGAAAATTCTACTTGCCTCCTTTAGATCTTTTCTCTCTTGAACACAATCCAAAACGAGTTCTTGCTTTGATAGTTCTGCTCCCCATATTTGTCAAGAGTACCTAATCCTTCCCAGCCCACAAGAAGTAACTTAGGTACAACTACCATTCTCTGGAGTGGGGCCCTGATGTACACAAATCCCATCCTTTTTCATTGCTGCTTCTGGCTTTCTGTTTGGATTTTTTACTTAATTTGGAGGAACTGAGAGGAAGCCAGGCCTCCACAGTTCTGGCTGTCTTCTGACAGTGGAGTGAAGGGTGAAGGCACCCATGGCCACTGCTCTCCAGGAACTTCTGGAAATTTTCTTCTAGCCTTATTGATTCTTGGAGTGCAAATTTACAAAGAACCTAAGTTGCTGGTAAGTAATCTCGTTCCTCCCTTCTGTCATGAAGAAGTCCTTAACTTGCCTGTGTTTGTACAGGAAATGTAAGCAGAACTGA